CAATGATATCTGGATGGTGGACAGATGGTGGCAGTGCAGGTCCGACCCTCTCTGGTTTGGTCCCGGGCAACCTGCAGCAACGCACAGCTGCTGACTGCTAGCGTGGCCAGGCGTCCTCAGCGTCTTCCATCTCTGAGCTGTTTCTCCTCTTGTCTTCATAGTTGGAGCAGACCTGACAACTCCTCTCTGTTGCAGGAATCCCCATGGTCTTGGAGTAGTTTTTTGAGCATATGCAAACATATTCTCCACCCAAACAACTGGACCTTCATCTAGGGCTGAAAATAGGACATAGTCCAAAAAGCAGATTCAGAGGAGTAAATATAGAAAGCAGAACTCTTAGGTATATGGTTAGTATTTTTTAAATTTAATAAATACTATTTACTAGGAAAAAATATTGTGATCCAGCCTGTCCTGAAAGTTCATAACAGGACTATCCCCATATACATAGACTGCTCCATCTCAAGTTTTCCCGCTCCGTTTTCTCCGGATGGGTCCTGCTCCTCGCTCATTTCTGTCATCTCCATCAAGGCTTCCCCACCTGCACTTCACAGCAGCCCTCATGGACTCCCTCTCAATCCTCTTGTAGCACATTTCTCCCTTCACACATGCTCCCTCTGCATGCCCTACATAATGTACTCCCCCATGCTGTTTGCCCCAGATGGCCTCCCACATCTCTTCCTGCACTATCCTGGCCCTTGTGCTGAGACTTCACTTGGTGGCTCCATTACTCTCGCTCTTTTGGGGCCCTCTGTACACTCTTCCTAACTCCTCAGCATGTGATGCGGTACCTGCTAATAAACCAGTGAACAGCCCCTCCGGGCACTGGAATACTGTGCAGCAGATAGAAAGAATGAGATAGTGCCGTATGTACAATCATGGAATGATGCCCAAGAAATGCATTCTTGTTTTTCCCCCCAAGTATTTATCCCCCAGTTCCTCCCTTCAGAGACAGTCACTGTTTTTAGTTTCTTATTCTAGAAATGTCCGTTGCATAAGTTAGCAAATGTATAGTTAACCCATCTTTCCCAAAGACTCCCATAATAGCATATATAGTGTTAAGGGCGAAAAACAAAACACAGAGCAGCATATGTACTATCCCAGTTGTTTGAAATGTCTGTACTACATGGGTTTCTGTATATTTCTAGAGCTGTGGGATCCCTTATCACGTCCGGAGTGGTTCAGGGTTCCTCTTCAGGGTCCCGCGTTCTGGAAAAGAGTTAATTTGGGAAAATGGGGGCCAGGCAGGAGTCCACCTCTAGGGGGAGGACTACTACTGCTCTGGCCTTTGCTATCCCTTTTATTGAGGCTATGGGAAACACCCATATCCTGTTGGCAGGAAATTCTAATAATAGACAATCAGCAAGAATTTACGTATGATTAATAGGTGGAGATTGCTTTAACTACCAATGTCTCAACTAAACAATGAGTGATTAGCTCCGACCATTCAGAGCAAGGGTGACCAGCCTCCCGGATTCCCTTTTCACATTTCTCTGTTAGTGACAATGTTCGCTTCCGGCCTAGAGCCATGCTGGTCCAAACAGTAGTCAGTAGCCCCATGTAACTCTTCAAATTAAATTAATTAAAACTAATTAAAAAGTGAAAACTCAGTCTCTCAGTTGCTCATGAATGTAATCATAAAAATACTGAGAGGTGGGTGAAACAGTTTAATACTGTCATTGTCTTAATACTGTCATATTTTCTTCCAATCTTTACAATTTAGGGAAAACAAAGAAGAACAATTAATCGAGAAACTGGAGGTGGTCACAGTGCCTTCCCCATCACCGAAAGGACTGCCAGTGAAGCAATATGCTGTCCAAGCTCAGCTGCCCGTGTATGAGTGGCCAGATGTGGGATCTGGAGAATATGATGTGGGAGTGGTCGCTTCATTTGGCCGACTTTTGAGTGAGGCTCTTATTCTTAAATTTCCCTAGTAAGTTTTATTTATAAGGAAATATAGTAGAGAGACCTTAATGGCATGACTTGTTAAAATGTATGATGCTCTTTCACTCGCCCTCATTTAAATTTTATACATCAGCTGCCTGGCCGATGTGGCTAGGTGGTTGGCAGCAACCCACGCACCAGGAGGTCAGCAGGGTATTTCCTGTCAGGGCTGCGGGCTCCGTCTCCAGCAGGGGGCGTGCAGGAGGCCACAAAAATGTTGATGTTTCTCATCTATTTTTCTATCTCCCCCTCCCTCTCTCTCTAAAATCAATAAAAACTTTTTTAAATTTCATATATCTGCTGACAACTCCCAAATGTGTCCCGCCAATTCAGATCTCTCCCTGAATTCCAGGCCCCTAATGCCCACTGCCTCCTCCACAGCCCTGTTTGGATGTCTAGTAGACACCCAACATTTGAAAGGTCCACAACTATATTCCTGAACTTTTGCCCAGAATCTGCTCCCCCACAAATCTTCATCTCAGCAGATGGGACCTCCAGCCTTCTGGTTTCTTAGCCCCAAACCTTGGAGTCATTCTTAATTCCTATCTCACACCACACAGATCAGCACATTATTTAAGTTGCTCATTATTGTGTGATAGGAGTATTGGGATAAACAGTGATGGTAATGGTACTGAAAGAAGTTTGTTTTAGGCATCTATATGGAAACCAAGAGAAGTGAGGGTAATTATGTAACTAAACCATCTGAGATGCATAACAGGGTTTGAGTGGTTCTCATAGTTAAAAAAAAAAAAAAAAAATGTATCTTTTGTTTAAAAACTCCCAGACATTATGAGCTGTTGTGCAGCATCTTGTAACAATGAATAGTTGTTCTTGCTCTGGTTTTAATTGAGTCTCATTGGTCTCATAGTAGAGTGAATTTAGCTGTGGCTCCCTTTTCTGGTGGTACAAGTCTAGCGACAACTGTTAGTTTTTCAAAATTTGGGGGAAAGTTTAATGATAAAAAATAGCGTATTAGTTTAGGTAGCAGTAACTAAATGGCACAACCCACTTGCATACTAATTTCTGCCTTTTCTAACTCAGTGGCATATTGAATGTCCACCCCAGTTGCCTCCCAAGGTGGCGTGGTCCAGCCCCTATAATTCATACCGTGCTTCATGGAGACACAATTACTGGAGTAACAATTATGCAAATCAGACCTAAAAGGTAAGAGCTTATTTTCTTTTCTTGAGATTTTTGAATGTTGGTATAAGTCCATTGGAGGGGTTGGGTATGGGTGAATGGATGATGCTCTATTCTCCAACTCCAGAGTCCTTCCTTTGCTTTTGTACTTTCTGTTTTTTTCCTGGTTTCTAACATAAGCCATATGTGTTTTGGTATTTATGCCCTTGTGAAATTTTTAACTTGTTAATTGAAATAAATTATATTATTAGCAACTGGATATTTATAAAAGACTAGTAGCCCTGCACATGAATCCATGTGCCAGTAACTCTCTGCAGGGCCTGGCCGCTCCACGCCCACTGCCCAGGGGCACCTCCGCGGCCGGCGCAGAACACTTGCCTTGTCACTGCAGCAACGAAGCAAGCATTCCACCAGGCGGCTCAGCTGCCCGCTCAGCCACCGCCTCCCTCCCCTCCCCCGGGACTGGGGGCCTCTGACGGGTTGAGAGGATTGGGTGCCGCCATCTTCTGGCTATGGGTGCTGCCACCTGTGTGATAGTGGCACAGAGTGATGGTTAATTTGCATGTTACCCTTTTATTAGATAGGATGTTATATAAATGAGAAATGGATTTTTTTTATAGTAGTTGCTATGAATCTCAGTTCTTCTTGCCCTGGTTTCTATAATAAAACTATGGTCAAAAATGTTTTGGAACCTGACATAAGAATATATTGTATACCAATAATTTTCTTAAACATTTAATTTTTTATTATACCTGCAGTCTAAGAAATAATTATTTAAAAACTGCTTCAGGAATGTATTAAGACTGCCAATTGTCACCTTATGTCTCCATAGAAACTAATAATTCTCACGTTCTGAAGACCAACTCAGTATCTGGGATTTGCTTTAATTCGGGAAAAGGGTGGGGGGAGATGAAACAGGAGTGTCAAAACTTTGATCATTCTAAAATCTGGGTAATGTTGATAATGGTGATTCATTAGACTATTCACTGTTTTTGTGAATGTGATTTTTCATAATAAACATTTTACTAAAACTTATAGGTTAAAAATAGAATTAACAGGTCTACAAAGTTAAATATTCTAAATAAAGCATATTTCTAATAAAAACTAATGGCTAGTATTTACAGAGCTTGATGTAAAATGACTTGTGGGGCTGCCCCTCGAGGCGTTGCAGGTGGGCTGCCGTGCCCGCCTGCGTCATGAGGGGCAGAGAGCACAGAGGCTCGCCTACGCCCAGCGCCCTGGCCGTGGGCACCTGGATGGTTGACAGCCTGACACTGGACGCTGTTCCGCGCCCCTGGTGGGGGCCGGCGACCGGCACCCAGTCTGGTAACGGCTCCTCAGTCCCCTAGGCTTGGCCCCGGTCTCCGGAGGGCATGCAGGAGGCAGGAGCAGGCGTAGGACCGAGGGGGGAAGGTGTGTCGGCATGGGCTGCTTGGTGAAGGTCTGGGCATTGCTTCCTGCCACGTGGGTGAAGAGTGGGCGGCAGACTCTTCCTTTGGGGGGTGCCACCTGCAGTCCGATGGTTCTGCCTTAGCGGGATGAGTGGCACAGGTGTTGGTGGGCAGCCGTTCTGCCTCTTAAAGCAAACCTATGGCCGTGCCCTGATGCCCCCGCAATCCCGCTGGAGGTTGGAGACGGAGCCACAGGCCAGGGGAACCTCCAGCGAGTGAGGCCTGGGGTCCCTGAGGACTCAGTTCCTGTGCGGAGACCCTCCGGTGGGGGTCTCACTGGGAGCGAGGGGGGGGGGGGGCGGCCATCTGTAAGGAGGGCCCTCCCGGCTGCGCGCTCCTGGGCTTGCGGACACTGAGCCGGCGCCAGAATGGATGTCCGGGTCCTGGCTTTCCACTTCGGGTGCCGATCTGGGGCCAGAAAGGTGCCCGTGGGAAAGGGGGAGCAAGGGTAGGGGGCTGGCTGCCCTGCGGGTGCTGGACCTGCCGGCACCACAGACGTGGCTGCTGTGCTGCACTTGTGACTGACGCTAGGGCACAGGAAGGGGCTATTTCTACGCTCAGCACTCCGAGCAGTGGGCACTGGGAATGATTTGTAGCCTGACATGCCCGGTGGAAATAAATAGATAAATAAATAAATAAATAAATAAATAAATAAATAAAATTAATAAATTAGGTAAAAATAGAGAATCCAGAAACAGGAAAAACAATGACTGTGGGAATGCAAATATACTTGTATCTACTTATAATCAACAGTGTTTATAATCTAGCAAAACTCTTGTCCTTTGAGAAAGAAAATATAGAAAAATAATTAGGAATGTTTTTATTGTAGTTCCTTAGAAAAGAAATTCTTTGCTCTATGATTTCATTATACAAATAGAGATTTTTTTGTACTATTTATTGCTAATGATAGAATTATCTATAATTGCAATCAAATCCCTGATATATAACTTTATACTTTTACCCATTAAGAAAAAATAAATTTAAAATCTAAGTACAGGTCAGATTTTACTCACCTTTCTTTCAAACTGACATTTATCTTTGCAAATGGTTAACAGTCAAATTTGTGGCGAAGGCTAAACTATCCTGGTAGTGTGTAAATGCTCATGTAGACAGACATTATGATGAAAAGAGACTGTCAGTAATCACATTACTTTTTTCTCTCTTTTTTTTTTTTTTTTTTTTTTTTTTTTTTTTTTTTTTTGTAGATTTGATGTAGGTCCAATTCTCAAACAGGAAACCATTCCTGTGCCCCCCAAGAGCACTGCAAAGGAATTGGAAGGAGTGCTGTCAAGATTGGGTGCCAACATGGTACAGTTCTCATATCCCACTGCTTTTATTCATTTAGCAGATTTAAATGGTTATGCTGAGAAAAACAATTTTATGATATGTAGTTTTAATTCTTTAAGAGTGATTTCTACTCCTGACTTCCTAATAATTAACATGTCATTTGTGGTCTCATCTGTCTTTGAGGATTACACAGTTCGGGTATTTAATAAAGGTTTTCAAATGAAACACTTGATCTTAAGTGGGCCATAGTTTCACAGCAAGGCTCTAGACCTGTGGTCGGCAAACTACGGCTCTTTGGCCCTTTAAGTGTGGCTCTTCCACAAAATATCACGGCCTGGGCGAGTCTATTTTGAAGAAGTGGCGTTAGAAGAAGTTTAAGTTTAAAAAATTTGGCTCTCAAAAGAAATTTCAATCGTTGTACTGTTGATATTTGGCTCTGTTGACAAATGAGTTTGCCGACCACTGGCCTAGACTATCCTTCCCAATTTCACTCTCCGCAGTCTCATACGAATTTCCTAAGTGACTCGTGGCTTCCCTCCAAGCACTCTGACTGTGTTCCAGTCATTCGCATCCATATGCATGGAATTCTGCTGGCCCCAGCTATACATGAACTCCATGGCTTTGTGTAGTTCATTGAATCTGTACACTGTAGGGTCTGAGAAAATGCTTTATAACCAAATTAATGATTTTCATATGAACTAGTTAATTTTCTGTAAAAGAAAACTTTCCCCCCAACTATATAGATGTGTCGTATTCTAGGCACTCGCCTTGGAAATGCTACTATAATAGTGGATGTCATTTATTGTGCCGGGATACTTTATAGACTGATTTTTTTACTTTTCCAACAAACCTTTGAGGTAGCTCTTGTTGGTGACTGTTTTACAGATGATGCCATTGAAGGTCACAGACAAGGAAAATAACTTTTCCACAATGACACAGCTAGTAGGTAGTGGAATTTGGATTTGAATCCAGAGCTATGTGATTCCAGAATACACTCAGAGACTCCACAGCCTTCCTCCCTACAGGGTGAGAGTGTGGATAACTGAGCATAGTCTATCTGATCCTGAAAGCTTGCACATCCAGTCAAAGCTCAGCATTCACTGGAAGCAAATCAGTGACCTGCACTCTACAGAGAGCAGCCTCTCTACTGAAACCCCACCGAGCAGACGCGTGTGCTCACAGCCTGGGCCAGTTTACTATTGACCTGCCACACAGCTTTTAAAGCTGTGGCTAATTTCATGATAACTAGGTTGTAATATAGTTCTGCTTTTTTCCTTTTCATCTTGAATATATTGCTCTTCTTTTTTAGCTTATTTCAGTTTTGAAAAATTTGCCTGAAAGTTTGAACAATGGAAGGCAGCAGCCAACTGAGGGGGCAACACATGGTAAGTGAAAGCTACAGACTCTTATCCCTTGCCATGGGTTTCCTTTGTCATGTTTTTTTTTTTTGTGTGTGTGTGTGTGTGTGTGTGTGTTTCTTTATTGATTTTTAGAGAGATGCAGGGAGGGAGAGCGAGAGAGAGAGAAACAGATTTGTTTTTCTACTTCTTTATGCATTCATTGGCTGATTTTTAAAAATATACGTTTTTATTAATTTTAGAGAAAGGAAGGGAGAGAAATAGAAACATTGATTCATTGGCTGCCTCCTGCACACCCCCTACTGGGGATCGAGCCCACAACCCAGGTATGTGCTCTGACCAGGAATCAAACCGGACACCTCTTGGTGCATGGGATGACGCTCAACCACTGAGCCACACTGGCCAGGCTAATTGGTTGCTTCTTATAGGTACCCTGACTAAGGATTTAACCCACAGCTTTGCTGTATCGGGACAACACTCTAACCAACTGAGCTACCTGGCCAGGGCAAAGGGTTTTATTTGACTTGATAGTAACTGAACACTTTGACTTCTTCATTTGCACATTTCTCTTAATTTTGACTAAAGATTGAATGCCCACTTGTATGTCCTTTTCTAAAGAATGGTTGGTTAGGTCTCCCTCTCCCTATTAACATGCAGTTTCATGAAAGATTAGAAATGTTTTCTCTACTCTTTATGTTGAAAAGTATCAAACACAGAGATAAGTTGAAAGATTGATTAGCTATTTAACCCAGAATCAACAATTATTAATTTTTGGCTATATTTTCCTTTGTTTTCTCTAAATGTGTGTTTGTTTAGCATGTGGATTTTAATTTCTGCTTAGCCATTTGGAATTATGTATCATGACCTTTCATCCCTAAACACTTTGGCATGCATCATAAAAAATGAGCAGTTCCACAATAGCATCTAGTATCCAATCCATATTTAAATTTTCCTAATTGTCTAAAAACACATTTTATTTTTCCAACTGAGATTCAATTGTAATTAGTTGTTATTACCCTTTATTCTCTTTAATCTGTAGTAATTAATTCTTCCACTATTTTTTGCCTTCCATGTTACTGACTTTTTAAAAATATATATGTTTTCTTATTGATTTCAGAGAGATAAAACATCAATGATGAGAGAGAATCGTTGACTGGCGAGCTGCTCCTTCATGCCCCTCAATGCATTACTTACGGCATTTCTTTTTGTCTTGCAAAAGTTTATTTTTATGTAGTCACTTTTATAATTTTCTTTAACTGCATTTGAATTTTGAATTAGAGGATTATTTTCTACACTTAGGTAATAAAGAAATTCACCCATGTTTTCTTCTAGTACCTGCATGATTTATTTATTTTTATTTTGTATTATGGAAAATTTCAAACATATACAAAAATTGAGAAAATAATGTAATGAATTACTCTTGTATCTATTATTCAGCATCAATAGTTATCATTTCGTGGACATTGAACTTGATATTCATTCTTGCCATTGGCTTTATCTTGTAGCCCCTAAGATTTCTGCTCGTACCAGCTGTATAAAATGGGAGGAACAAACTTCAGAGGAAATATTCAGACTTCATCGTGCCATTGGAAATATAGTAAGTTGGAAGTCAGAATGCAGTTTTACTTAATTGTGTGTGTACTTCACTTTCAAAATAATTTTATTTAAGAATGAGTCTCATAAACTAAACCTTAAAAATTCTGAAGTTCATATTTTTATTGTGGTAAAATATACATAACATAAAATTTACCATTTAACTACTTTAGGTCAGTAACATTAAATATCCTTTGATCTTTAGTTTGTTCTTCAGAAAATTAGGGTTGATATAATATATATAAAGAATCTATTGGGAACTCTTTTCCCCTTCCCACATGGGAGTCTGTCCTTGTTCTTCAATAAATTTCCACCTTTTCTATATATATATATTTTAAAAAAAGGCATCTGTTATAACCAAAGTATAGTATACGACACAGATGTGGTACTCATTAAATGATATCTGCTATTTATTCATTCATTAAATGGAATATTGAAGGCTTATATTATGTCAGGCATTATCCCAGGTTCTAGAGATAAAATGATGTGGGAAAATAACAAATAAGCAAATAACTAAAAATATCAGATAGTGTGATAAGTTCTTTGATGAAAATTTTAAAAAGATAGACTAACTGGAGGTTATTTTAGATTGGATAGATGGGGAAGACCTCTCTGAATTAACATTTAAGTTGAGATCTGAAAAACAGTAAGGAGCTAGCCATGCCGAGATCAGTAAAAGAGCATTCCAAGCAGAGACAAAACCAGATAAAAACATTATAAGAAAAGTAAACTAAAAATCAATATCCCTTATGAATATAGAGGCAGAATCCCTCAACATAATTAACATACTGAATCAAACAACATACGGAAAAAGATTATACACTATGACTAAGTGAGGTTTATCCAAGGAATGCAAGGTTGACTCAACATGCAAAAATCAATCAAAGCAACAGCATACTAATAGAATATAATACAAGAGTCACAGAATTATTTCAATAGATACAGGAAAAACATTTGACAAAATCAAGTGTCCTTTTATTTTATTTTATTGATTTCTGAGAGGAAGGAAGAGGGAGAGAGAAATAGAAACATTAATGATTGGCTGCCTCCTACACACCCCCTACTGGGGATCAAGTCCACAACCTCGGCATATGTCCTGACTGTGACCTCCTGATTCATAGATCGACCCTCAACCACTGAGCCACCCTGGCCGGGTCAATGTCCTTAATGATTTAAAAAAATGCTCAATAAACTAAGAATAGAAGGGAACTTTCCCAACCTGATAAAGAACATCGTCTACCAAAAAGCCCACAGTTAACATATTGAATAGTGAAAGACCGAAAGCTTTCCCCCACTAAGATCAGGAGCAAGAAAACTATCACCATTGCTACTCAGCAGTGGAGGTAACAGGGCAATTAGGCAAGGAAA